ACAAGCGTTATGGTCGTACCCTCCAGATTTTGCCTATACATCTTTTCTAAAATTTCCAGGTAAAGGCTCAAAGCCATTCTTCTAAGGCCTCCACGGACTCTGAGGTCAGTGGCTGGATAGTTCATTACATTCATACTGGCAATTCCTTGCTTGCATTTTCTCGACCAGATTCCATTCCAGCTGTTGCAGCGTATATGGATAGAAAACGTGTCCCTGTCTGTCATGTGCAGTGAGAAGCTGATCCTAGAGGCTGTCCATGGATGCAGTCGTACTTAGTTTACAGAGAAGGCTGAGTGTATGCCGCATGCTGTTAGGGCCACTTGAAACTAGGCTAATTACCTGGCAGACGCTGCTGCAGTGCAGATTCTTTAGTAAAAATGAACAGGCTGACAAGGGATAGACTCCTTGCTATTTTGGGACAAACCTTCTCCTCAGGCAGCGGATAGCCACAGCGGTAAGGCTCCCAATCTATCATTTAGTTTGCTGTTTCTTGGCTGTAGAACTTAATTAACAATTCTGGAACTGGTCTGTTTCCCAGGAATAGCCTGTAAATCCGTTCAGTTAAACAATAAAGGCAGACGTGGGCAAAAATAAAAATCCCACACGAGTCAGAAATGAAAAATCATGTTGCTTTGTCAGTCCACAGGGCATGTTCTAAAGCCTTCTGAAGCTTTTCTGTCTAGTGGTTCAGGCAAGAGGGAAATGTTCTTGTGGACGCCACCATTTTTGGAACTGATGATTACTAATTACACAATTAATTTATTGCATAAAATAGTACAAACAAATAGCATGGAAACAGTTAAAACATACTTACAGGTATTTTTCTCTTCAAGATCTGAAAGTACAACACAAACATTTGTCATACCTGTGAATCAGACGGAAGAAGACCACAAGCCTAGAAAAGCAGTGTTCTTCAGGATCTGACCTCAGCCATCCAGAGCGCTGTGCTTCCCCAACTTCCATGGATTTGAACTGTGAAGGTGCTCGAGGCATTATGGTGTTTGGTCTTTTACAGAAAAAGCCAAAGATAAGGTAACGCTCCTACCCTCTGCTTATCTTATAAACAACCAGTGCACCCTTTTGATAGTTAACTTCCCCTCCCACCACCATTTTGTCTTGCTAATGTATGCCTGTTCTTAACTTTCCATAGCACCCCCATTAATGTCAGTCAGGTCACAATAAATAACGCTAAGGATACCTGTATGTCTTTGTAATATTAGCGTCTTACGAGGTCATTCAAATTCAATGAATCCATGTGCAGGAATAAGATGACCAGAATTTGATTCCATTGCAGTATAATCATTTCAAATGAAGTAACTATTCTTTAAAAAAGCAGGTTTTTTTTTTCCTTCAATAATTATAACCAGGAGTTAATAATAATGCCAAACCCCATCTTGTGTAGATGGCAATCAATTGCAGAAGAAGAATTTCTGAATATCAGAAAGAATGTGGTCATCTAAACCATCATTCATGTTTTAAGATGGCCAGTGAAACCATTTTATTACTGCAGTTAGCTGGAAAGAGCACAAATTCTGCAAAAATCAGATAATGTACTCATTTCTGAAAGCCTGGAACAAAAGAGCCAGTAGAGATTTGCTGAGTAGTTGTGAGATAGCCATTAAATATAAATATTTTTAAAAACAATTTACTCTTTCCTAATGCTTTTAGAGCAGCATGTGGGAACAGAGTCTAAGTGCAGCATCGCACTGCATTAAAAAGGACATGATGAAGGTTATTGGGCTCCAGATTTAACCCTTCTATCTCTTAACTGCTCATAACATTTCCTAACCTACATAAACTATGCGAGTTTATATAAAACTTACCCATCTTTCCTAGCAGTTTATATTTTTAAAACAACTATTACCAATGATCTGCATTTTTCAGTCCTACAGAAACAAACTATTTTTAATGGTGAATGCAAGTTTCCGTTCCTAAAATTAAAAATAGCAGCAGAACTGGAAATTGCTTTCTTTTTATCCTGAATAGGCATTGTAGATGGAAAATAGAATTGCTTTGTGGGGCTGTATATGTGTAAACAATATGAGTATTTACATCACTGGTTTGAACAAAAATGTGTAGGCCAGTTAGAAAGAAAAAGAGGCTGATTTTCACTCCAGACTATCCAGGTCTTGCTCCAGTATAAGGAATAACAGAATTTAATTCTGCTACTCAGGGAGTAAAGTGTCATTCAACGCCTTGATCCCAGCAGTGCATCTGACAGAGCCCATTGCTGCTACGCGGGAGGCAGACTGACTGAACCGTGAGACACTTCTCGTACCAGGGGCAACGACAAGGCTGACACTACCAACAACAGCCCTTGCGAGGGGCTTAGGTCATTCTGAAGTAGACCTGCAGCAACTGCATTGCACAGCACTTGGCCTGGGCTTCCTCTAGCTCCATACAGCACCTTCATGGCCCAAAGGCCCGAAGACAGAAGTGTTGAATTTTCATTGCAGCACTTTTTCAGTTCAAAGTGCCCAAAATAACAGGCAGGCCTGCCAGCAGGGTGTTTTTTAGCACAATGCTGAGGATGCTCAGGAGTGTTAGGCGAGGCCTACGAGGATAGTATGAGGGCACTGTGAAGGGCTGAGCGAGCCAAAGCGCATGTGGACTCATCCATACTGCCTAGGGGTAATCGATCCCTGGAGACAACAGTCCCAGGACTTTGCTGGGTATCCAATTCACTCCAGAGGAGAACTGAGGAATGAACTAACACTCATACAGACAAGAAACCAAGGACACAGGAGCAAACATACCTTAAAAAAATCCTTCTTGATTCATGATACTTCCACATTTGGAGTTTTAGTAGCTGTAGGTAGGATTCATCTGATCTAACTGAAGACATCTAAGCACTTTATGCTACTTTTACTGTCAACAAAGAAGAAAAGGCCCATCCACACAGTGATTCACCTGGACTTTCTTAGATGCCTATTTAAGGAGGAAATGGATGAGTCTTCATGATTTGGCTATGTGGAACTTCAGAAAAAAAATGTCTTTGCTGAGAGGCATCCCATGATGATCACCATGGATTAATACCGAGGCTCACATCGTTCAGTATCATTGTCAGTAATACATCCTCAGCAAATTTGCAGATGATGCAAAACTGGGGGAATGTCTGACACACTGAACAGCCTGGCATCAATCCAGAAGAACCATAACCTAAGGAGCATTGCAAGGTTCTGCACTTGGGGAAGAATAACCCCAAGCACTGGTGCAGGGTAGGAGCTGACTGGCAGAGTAGCAGTCCTCCTGCAACCGGGCTTATGGTGGATGCCCATCTGAACACGAGCCAACAGTGCACTCTCATCACAAATAAGACAAAATGCATACTGAGCAATACTGACTGCCGGAAAGTCGTCAGCAGATGGGGGGAATATTTTGTTCTCTTCTGCTCAGCACTGGTAAGGCCATATTTGGAATAGAGTCCAGTTTTGGCATGACCAGTACAAAAGGGATGTTGAGAAACTGGAACTGGTCTGCTGCCGGGCTGCCAAGCTGGTTACCTAAAGAACGTGATCTGCAAGGAGAGTGGAGGAAGGTGGACTTGTTCAGTCTGGCACAGAGGACTCTAAGCGTGGTCTAATTGCAGCTCGTGACTGCTTGAAGAGAGTTACAAAGATAACGGAGATGAAGTTTTCTCAATAACGTCAGATAATATAACAAGGGGCAATGGCCAAAAAAATGCTTCTTTTGAGGCTCAGACTGGACATTAAGAAAAAATAGTTCACCAGGAGGGTGGCACAGTTCTGAATCTCTGTTGTTGGAGGTTGTCAAGACCGTAAATCCATGGCTGAACTGCTCCACTGTCAGTAAAAGCCCAGCTTTGAGCACAAGGATGGACTTTCTAACTGTTAATTAGATTCTGTGATAAACTGAAGATATACAGCCTGAAAATTACAGCTGGGTCAAAACACTTCCAGGTGAGAATCTCTGCTGAAGCCCACAGGCAGTGGCTTTCGCAATGTGCCCTTTGTGAACCAAAACAGCCTCAAGCCATGCTCAGCCTCACCGGAGTCAACAGCAAAACAAGTGCTTGAACTGATGGTGAGAAAACAGGACTTGCTGAGGGACACAAACTAGTAATACATACAGTTCTCTGGTGAGACCCCACTTGCAGTGCTGCGTCCAGCTCTGGAGCCCTCAGCACAGGAGAGACGGGGACCTGTTGGGGCGGGCCCAGAGGAGGCCACAAAAATGACCAGTGGATGGAACAGCTCTCCTGTGAGGACAGGCTCAGAGTTGGGTTGTTCAGCCTGGAGAAGAGGCGGCTCCGGGGAGACCTTCCTGCAGCTTGCCAGGACTTAAAGGGGCTTAGGAGAAAGATGGGGACAGATTTTTTAGCAGGGCCTGTTGCCATAGGACAAGGGGTAATGGTTTTAAACCAAAAGAGGGCAGAATTCGACTAGATAGAAGGAAGAAATTTTTCCCAATGAGGGCGGTGAAACTCTGGCCCAGGTTGCCCAGAGAGGTGGTAGATGCCCCACCCCTGGAAACATCCCAGGTCAGGCTGGACGGGGCTCTGAGCAACCTGCTCTAGTTGCAGATGTCCCTGCTCACTGCAGAGGGCTTGGACTAGACGGCCTTTGAAGGTCCCTTTCACCCCAAACTATGCTGTGATTCTGTGACTCTGTAAGCAGATATATTCATAAGAAGCAATGACTACTGTTACGGGCTTTTGTCTGTAACATATAAACAGCATTGGAATCCATTAGGATGTGTACTACCATCATCTCTAGAACGTGTCTAAGCCCTTTAATTCTCTATTATCTATCTATCTATCTTATTATCTATCTATCTATCTATCTATCTATCTATCTATCTATCTATCTATCTATCTATCACTAAATGGAAATTCTCATCCAGAACTATGGGGACAGGTACTGAACAGGGTGATCTGAGCTCTCTCCCAGTCCCTGTGATTCCCTAAGTAACCTGGGACATATTCAACTGATTTTGCAGCACAGAGTTCCTTCTAAAACTACAGATTAAATTAATTGCTGGAAAAAAAATTGTTTTGATATGTCTTAATATTTATTATATACTTAGGATAAATTTATTGTGTCTTTGGCATATGTAAGAAGAGAAACTTAACTTTCAGTAAGGACAAAAATAGTTCCCAAAGGCAACTGTGTGACGAATCATGAAGCATAGCTAAGGTTAGCTTAGAAGCAAGATTCATTTCTTCTCATCCTGAGAGTGTGACCAGACAGGCTTACGTTTCTGAATAAAAGCTTCAATACCTTCCTGCCCATCTCTCAAAGTCAAATTGTCTACCATGACCTGAGTAGTCATTCTGTAAGCAGTATCGAGGTCCTGTGACATCTGTCTGTAAAAGGTGGCTTTCCCCAATGCCAGGATGGATTTGCTGCTTTCGCATATCTTGTGAGAGATTTTCATGGTCTCTTCTTCCAGCTTGTCTTCTGGTACCACCTTGCTGACAAGCCCGTGCATTAATGCTTCTTGGGCAGAAAGAGGTTCACCCGTGAAAAGCATCTCTAATGCCACCTGAACAGAAAAAAATACTGTATTAAGTCAATTCAACTGCCTTATTGCTTTGGTTTGTTTGAGGAATTTCAGCGTCCTCCTTCAAGTACAAGTTACTCTTTTGACAAATGTAAGATTTAAATCTTTTGGCCTCTTAAACTGCCAAGGAAGTGTTAAGAGGTTTCAGCAAAGAGAAGGAGTAAAGCTGTCCTGTTTTCAAACCTGCCCACTGATTCCATTTGTCCTAGGCTGACACCTCTGGATTTCTTTTCAAAAGCCCACAATCTCTAGTGATTGCAGCACGACTTAAGAGAGATGTGGATGGTCCGCAATACCAAATGACATAATAAATAAAGATTTACTACATCGATATGCAGTTTGAAAATACCTGCCTCAGTTTTAAGTTTGGTTGCGGTGTTTTTAAATATGCCTCTCTTATGGCTGCATCTACTTCAGCCTCCTGCTGCTTCCAGCATCTTGTACTTGAGGTTTCAAATAAAAAAATTTCCCAAATATGCAGTGACTACTCAATGTTATGTATCAATAAGAATTTTTTTTCATGACTCCTGATGCAACTGTCCAATGCCTGGAATCGTAAGAGCTGATTATCCTCATTAGTATCTTTGCTCTGCTAACTACAAACAATGGCAACATTTCTTTATATAAAAGGTAAACTCAGTAATCCTGAGAACTGTACGGAATGCTCTTGCTACTTTTAAAAGTGGCACAGAGAAAAATAAATCCCACACATTTTAAAAAGGTAACCATAAACCCCAGAAATACTAATTCAGAAACAGTTACAACTGTACACTATAGCACGCTTGGAAAAAAACCACACAGACCATATTTGAACAGGATGGCCTTACAGATGGGAAACTGAAAGTTGAAGCTCTTATCCAGCAACTGGACTTGTGCAGTTAAGTCACTGCATCTCAGCAGAGCCCTGCTGGGCTTGGAGAGTCTGTCCGCATGAATCTAACTGGATCAGAACTTAAAACTTCTTTTCTCAGTTTATGGAAGCTTTACAGATCATACTATTGTTTATGCAATGAGAGATGTGTAGTCACAATCAGTAGGAAATAAGGCAGGAAGAAAGTATAGGAGGGTTTTAGATGCTATTTAAAGCATCTTGATCTACACCCAGGCAGATCATGCTGGCAGTGAAATGTCATCGCCTGGCAAGAACTGATATCTTGGTGGGACTGATATCCTGAGCTTGCAGGGGTGTCCTCATCAGGGGAGAACATCGCTGTCTAATGCACAGAGCTATCTGTTGGAAAGGAAAGGGATTGCTGAGCTAGCGTGCTGCTGGTATGAATTCATGCTGGTTGGAATCGCATCAGTAGGAAGCTGCTTTCCATAAAGAGAGTTCATCCCTTTATTATTTTTCCCAGTCCAAAGAGTTATGAAGATGTCTTTTGCAATGAAGTATTTTGAATGTTGTACTGCAGGAAAATAAAGTTTAGACAATGGAACTAAAAATCCTAACAAGGGAACCTACTTCTTGCAAAATTACACAGAGTATCTGGGAAGGAAGCTTACCTTTCTTGGAAGAGATCTGCCCAAGGCCACAGCTGGTGTGGAGCAAAACAGTCCAATGTTTACTCCAGGAGTAGCAAATTGAGATTTCTCGCTTGCCACTGCAATGTCACAGCTTGCCACAAGCTGACAGCCTGCTGCTGTAGCCAAGCCATTTACTTTGGCAATCACTGGTACTGGAAGTTTCTGGATTAAAGTCATAACCTGCAGGCACAAAAGGAAGTGGTCAGTTAGTCCCCCAAGTTTAAGCAGTGGCTGTTCTAAAACTTGCGATTGCTTCACACACCCGATGTGTGCATTTTTCAGCTTTATTAATTGGAGTTTAGTAATAAAGAAGTAAGCTCTCTGCAAAACCTGTTTTAATGCACAAGATCCGTAATGGAAAAGTGACTTAACAGGAGTGTCTGTCCCAAGAAATTAAACCAGCCTATCTCTGGTTTCTGCATGATCTCGAGCCTGGGATGATCTCACCCAAACACAACCATTGGATGTCTTTCTAGGCTTACTCTGTATTCCAGGGAGAGACTTAACCTGCCAGGAAACAATTTTTCCTGCTTGTGGAAAGCACACTCACTCTCTCATTCTCTCTCTCTCAGATAATTCTTGAAGGCTGGACATCTAACTTCAGACAGCTAAAGTTAAGAAAGATGAATTTGTCTTAACTTTTCTAACTCAGGTTCTCCTTCCATACAGTGGGAATCAACAAACTCACCTAATTTTAATGCCTGAAGATAGAAAACGCTAGTTAAATTATTACAGTCATTATCTGGATAAAAGAAAAATGAAATCTCATATTAGCACAGTGTAGCAAGATAAAAAATTTTCATTTGCTACTTCAATTTCTCCAGTAAACACAGCCTAGCAAATTTTACATTGCGTAGGTAAAATTACCTACATCCAGTTTTGAATTTGATCAGTTTTGTCTCCGTTCCATCTTTGTCTAAACACAATTTTTCAGTGGATCTTGAGAAGCAGACAACAAAAGAATAACAACACGTGCACATGTGCAGACAACCAACTACAGAATACTCTTGTGGTTTTAAAAATTCAAAGTCAACTGCTTCTCTAAAAAAAACCCCTGGTACTTACTGTTTTGCATTTGAAAAGCCTCTGGAGAAGTGATATTCTCAGCTGTCTCAAACTTGTATGTGGCAAATACTTAGTTCTCAGATACTGCAATTTATAGTATTATTAACACTGTTGTATGAATGGGGAAACAGAGGTGTAGCAGCTGAGGTGATCTTAGGATTACCAGCCACAGGCAGATGTAGGAGCCGAGGTTCCTGAAAACCTGGCCAATGCCCTGGACCCCCTAGTCCACAATGCTGTAGGCATGTCATTTAGGTTAGAATCCATTCTACTGAAGTGTTGAAATTTAGGAAGACACGATCCCATTTTGGAAGCCCTGAAAAGTACCTTTCTCTCTCTATTGACCAAAAAACCCCCAAAAGTCAATTATTCTACCAGACAACTAAAATTTAGATATTAGTTAGGATCCTAAATAAGCCTAAATTAATTTCACTATTTCTGTTTACCTGTAAAGTGACATTATTATTTAACAGTAAGACCTTCTTCCTCCATGGGGATAATGGTGAGTTGTGATTTATGAGCAACTTAAATCCCTTTAGGATACTCAGGTAGAGAGTTTAAAACACTCGTCACTACCATGAACATCAGAAAAAGGATCACTTCAAGAGTCATTTCCTCTCTTATATTTAATTTCTTCCTGAACTTACATTGCCAATTTCACAGAAGCATTTAGGTTGGTAGTGACCTTTTGAGATCGAGTCCAGTCCCCCTACTCAAGCAGGCTGGAGTACAGCAGGTTGCCCAGGACTGTGTCCAGTTGGGTTTTGAGCATCTCCCTATCTCTGAATTTCATGGTCTCAGGAATATTCATCTGAAATTGGTATTACCATTTTTTATTCATAATAATGCTACCTTACTAAACTTACTGTACAGTAGGGCACCATTCTCACAAAGAAAGCTAGGCTTGTTTTTAACTCTAAATGCTGACATTCTGTTATTTTTTGCTATTTCTCTTTATTAATCAAAGCCCAGTTTCTTGTAACGATACTATACTAAACAATTCCTTGGTACAATGTAAACTACTCAGCTGGAGCAAGGATGGAGTGCTCTGCTCTCGGACTAATAAATGCAGTTAGTCCCTATTTATTGTACCCAATTAATCAAAGTCATTAATCCTGAATATAGCCACAATGCTAGATATACCTACAAGAGAATTTACATTCTTCTGGTACTTGAAGTGAGAAATTCACCACCTCTTGATTCCCTGCTCTACGCAGTAAGTTTCACACTTTTTCTGCTTGCTCCTTCCTATTCTGTGACCTGGAAGCTGCACGGTTTGGTTTTCCACGGACAACATTGGTATTCTGCCCTGCAACTGCAAAATACTCACCTATTGGCTCCTAAACTATTGGAACTTGGCTCCTTTCTGATGAAGAGACTAACCTGCCATTCAGTCATATTTGTGCTTACCTCTCTGTGATCAGCATGCCAAGATGAAATCCAGGCAAAGCTGTCAGGATGACTGCTTCATATTACATTGAAGGCGCTACAGTGGTAACTTTCACACCTGGTTTTTGTTAAATATGGGCTTAACAATGTGTACAGAGATCATTATTACTGGAGGAACTAGAACACAAGGTTTCAAATTACTTTCTGTGGTCACACTGAGCAGGATTAGGGGTCAAATTCTAGTGCCGTTACAATCAAAGGGGCTTTTGCCATTCTCTCCAAAGGCTCCAGGATTCACTTTAACCTCCAGTTCTGTGCCTTTGTAACAAGAACTTGTATGGTCTGCTGACTGGGCAACCAGCAGTCAGACCTTACTTTCACATTGTCTACTTGACGTTTAAGCTGGTCTTGAGTTATACACTATATGCTGGGAAAGAACGTTTGATCACAAAGCATTTGAAGGTGGTTATCGCTAGGTTTCTAGGAAAGACATTACAGAATCACAGAATCATTAAGGCTGGAAAAGACCTTTAGATCATCAAGTACAACCACCAACCCAACACCACCATGTCCACGGAACCATGTCCTGAAGTGACACATCCACATGTTTCTTTAATATTTCCAGTGATGGTGACTCTACCACCTCCCTGGGCAGCCTGTTCCAATGCTTGACCACTCTCTCAGTAAAGAATTTTTTCCTAATATCCAGTCTAAACCTCCCCTGGCGCAACTTGAGGCCATTTCCTCTTGTCCTATTGCTGGTTACTTGGGAGACGAGAACACCCTCGTTGCCACAACCCCCTTTCAGGTAGTTGTAGAGAGCAATAAGGTCTTCCCTCAACCTCCTCTTCTCCAGACTGAACAACCCCAGTTCCCTCAGCTGTTCCTCCTAAGACTTGTGCTCCAGACCCCTCACCAGCTTCGTTATCCTTCTTTGGACACACTCCAGTAGTGAGGGGCCCAAAACTGAACACAGTATTTGAGGTGTGGCCTCACCAGTGCCAAG